AAGTTTCTTTTCCTAATCAAAAACAAATTTTTCCCAATCACATTTAATATTTGCTTCAGTGATGGGAGATGCCTAATAAGTGATTGATATGGAGAAGACATACTCCTGCAGTCTTCTCTTCCATATCTTTTCCATGATGAACGTTTCATTCCATCACTCACCTGTCAGTCTGTTGTCATGGGATGTCTGCAGTGCTGCTATGATGCTGGAAACTATGCCACTAGTCCTTCAAATACCAGAAGGGTCACTCATGGTGGGTAGGTTTCAGTAGGATTTCCAGCTACACTAGGAAGAAGGACTTGGTGACCTACTTGGACATTTATTCAATGAACACCTTATGGATGACAACAGACCATTGTTCACTATAGTGCTGAAAGATGAACCCCTACAGGCTGGAAGGTGCTCACCACATTGTGGCTGAAACCACCAACTGTAGCATTTCAGTGACTGTGAAGATGAAGTTTGGGGCAATATCTATTTTGTTTACATGGGATTGCTTTGAGTAGGGGTGGCTTGAAGATCACCTCGACCACTATCACTAAAATCTCTCCTTGTGTGTCATCTCCCAAAACAGTGGCAGCGGGATCTACTGAAGGGCTGGGCTGCTGAGGTGTTTTGGAGCAAGAGTGAGAAGACATAGGGCAACCTTCAACTTTAGTCTCTATCACTATGCACACCCTGTTCAGAATCAGCATGATGGGGGAAATATTGAACAGAAGGTTGCCTTCTTTATGAAAGAATTACACTCAGCTCCATCCTGTTCCCTAAGGGGAGGATTATAGGGCAAATGAGACAGAAATGAAATGGTGCTAGAACGCAGAGTGTGTACAAGAGAAATTAGGAATGTTCTGTAGAAGGAAGTCTTTAATAGTCTAAAATTCATCAGGAAGGTGCAGGGAAGAGGTGGTTGTGAGCTGGATCTTCAAAAAGAGAGAAGTGTTGGTTAAAAGCAAAGAGAAGGCACTTTTCAATAGTTGTTGTAAGACGCTGTTGAGTCTGTTCCAACTCATAGAGACCCACAAACTCTTAGCAGCTGGTGAGTTTGAATCATGGTTAGCTTTGTTGTTAACTGTAGAGTTGGTTCTGACTCATAGCAATCCTGTAAAGGGTTTCTGACGAGCAGCTGGTGGGTATGAACTGTAGACCTTGCGGTTCAAACTGGCCTTATCCTACAGAGCAACACCAGCACTCTTCATGATTAGCAGTCAAGTGCTTATTTTATGTTGTCGTTGTTGTTAAGTGCTATCTAGTTGGTTCCGACTCATAGTGACCCTGTATATAGGGTTTCTGAGGAGCAGCTGGTAAGCTTGAACTGTCGACCTTGCGGATCACACTGACCTTGCAGTCCAGCACATTAACCCACAGTGCCACAAGACTCCAAAATTAATGTGAGTCAGATCACCTTCGGCATGCTGTTTTAAAATGCAAGCTCTCAAACTCTAGCCCCAGGAAGCCCAGAAGGTAGAATGTGTAATAAGTCTCGGGACTGCCACTTGGAACACTGCTCAGGATACTGACATCATGGAAACCACAGAAGGTAACGTCAGAGACTTCTGAGTACCTCAAGTCAAGGAAAACACTTGATTTAGACATGTCATAAACTCAAATAGCTACAGGGACTGAAGTGGTACATCCCATGAGAAAAGTTGACAGGGAGAGGATGTAAGTATAAATGTAAACACTGGAGGGCTTGTGGCGCTGTGGCCTAGGCATTGGGCTGCTAACTGAAAGATTGGCAGTTCAAAACCACCAGCTACTTCGCGAAAGAAAGATGAGGCTGTCTATTCCTATAAAGATTTACAGTCTCAGAAACCCTATGAAGGGTGGGAATCAACCCGATGGCAGTGGATTTGTTTTCTTTTTTGTAGGGGTTTCTATTAACGGGGATACGGGTATGCATTCATGGCTGGCGCTTCAGTGTGCAAATCTTGCCTTCCATGTGGCCGAACTGGGTTCGCGTCCTGTTCACTGTAGGTCATGTGCAGTTTCCATTTGCCTGTCTGTCAGTAGAAGTTTCTGTGTTGTTAAGATGAGGAACAGGTTTCAGAGGAATTATCAGACTATGTTAGACAAGGAAGAAAGGGCTGATGATTTATTAAAAAAAAAAAAAAAATCAGCCCCACCAAGTGGTCCACAGGGCAGGTATGGCACATATTCTGGACTCCACTTGAAGGGGGGGTTGCTGATGAGCAGTTTATATTCTCCATCTCAGTTGTCATTGCTAGCTGTGAGTGAAAGATCATTCACAAAGCTAAAATGAGTACTTTGAGAGCCTCCATGGATCAAGGCAGACTGTGTAAACTTGCTTTGCTGAGTGTAGAAAAAGAAAGGGGAATAAAAATGACTCTGAGTCCATCCTAGACCAATTTTCACCCTTGAAAGCAGGCAAGGGACAGTTGTAATTGGATCACAGTGGTCAGACCCTGTCAAGCATGAGGTGACCTTGAGTCAGTAGAGCAGGTAACCACCACCTTCTTCAAGGGAGAGCAACCATTGAGTTCCTGACAATTACTGCCATGTATAGTTTTCAAGAGGAAGTCTGAAATCTCTGTTCCTCCACTATTCACTGATGGATCAAAATGTCCTAAGGGCCAAACAATGCCTTGCTAAGAGACCACCATTTGAAAAGATTAAGATCCCCGGCAACAGAATGAAATCTCATTGCAGAGTCCCTTGCATGTGTATAAGGGCATTTAAAAGTCTGGGGTGCTTGGCATGACTAAAACAGTTTGTGAACATCTGACTTGGATTCTATTTCGTCCCAGGCTTTGTTTCCCTTTCTAAGAAGGTGACTCCTGGCTGTTAATGTGTAAATGAGAGGCAGCTTGCCCTCAGGAAGATTGTGGTTGGAAGTAGAGTAACTAGTCTGAACTTGCCCGGGCCTGTCCTCACTGGATTAATAAAAGTCAGCCTACTAGAAGAATTTCCTTTAGCGAGCCAATCAGAATATATGTTTACTGTTAGTTTCTGATATTTAAATATTTAAGACCTGCCTTGGCCTAGTGGAGTGCCTAGTAACTACCTGGCTCGTCTGTGCTGCCGTATTCTCAAATCACTCTACCCCCTCAATAAACCTCTTTTGCTTTGACTTTAAAGCAGACTCCATGATTTTGTTCTATGACACACTAGAGAGACTGAAACTGTTTTTTATCTGGTAGATAATGAAAAACAACAGAAGATTTTGGAGCAAAGAAGGCATCTAAACAACAAAATTATTGATGGCTGCCCTTGGGATGGAATGGAGAAAGGGCTTTAGAAAGATCCAATCAGTTTCTTGCATCTATATACTCAACTGGAATAGAAAAGAGAGAAGATTATGAGAGATGCTGGGAAGCCAGATTTCATGAGATTGATTATGGGAAGAGGGAGGAAGGTATTACCCATATTGTGAGTTTCACCAGGGTGTGTTTTTTTCTTGATCATCTGAGAGAGAGAGAACCAGTTTTCTTTGGGTCCCATGTCTAACATACACTTCTTCTAATCATCCTTCCCCTTAATAAATACTGATGCTCCAGTGTTATTCATTACACGTGTGAGAAATTCTCAAGATGGTCCATCTTCAGGAATAAAGGGCTCACAATATTGCTAGTTCAGACACAGATTATTGATTCACGCCCAGGGATATATGAGCAGGATAAATTGGGTAAAGCGAGGAAAGAAATCTGTTGTAGGACTAGGAAATAGGGGAAGTTCATGAGGAAAGGGGGAAACTAACTTTAAATGAGAATCCTCCCAGTAAGGACTGGTAAGCAGGTGACCCTTGGGGCAAATTGTAAACGCCATGTTGTTGTTGTTGCTAAGTGCTGTTGAGTAGGTTCTGACCCATGACTACCCTGTATAGGGTTTCTAAGTAGCAGGTGATGAGCTTGAACTGCCGACCCGGCAATTCAAATGACTTTGCAGTCTGGTACATTAACCCACAGCGCCACACCAGGGCTCCATAGTACCCAGTAAAAGGGGAACTGGGGGAGGGGCTTTTTTTGAGACACGGGAATAAAACTGTTTGTGGACTGACCATGTGGAGCATCTGCCCGTGTCTACTGGGTTGGGCACCTGATTTTGCAAAATCAAATACAGAAAACCTCACTCTCGCTAAAATGAGTACAGATGCAATTACTTGAGCGTTTGTCAGTATAGACACTTCTCACACAGACACACCTACACACACATACACAGATCATTTAGGTTGCATTCTGTAAAGGGGCTGCTTCATAGTGAAGTTCAGAGTCATTCTTTAAGGGGGGACAAAGGAAAAAGCACAGACAAAGTATTTTGTAGTATCTATAATAAATGCAAATAAATCAATACAAACAGAACTTGGCTTTAGCAAACTGTACATACATAAATAACTCTCTCTTTTTTTTTTTTTTTTTACTATAACATTAATTTTTTTTTTTTCACATAAAGCCTTTTACAATCTTACTTATTACATCTGGTTTTTCTTTATACCTTTTAAAAAAAGTGCCTTTTAGATTTACAGCTTGTGCTTCAAAAGCAAAGGTTAGAACATCATGCCCAAGAAGAAAACAAGGTAAAAAGGAAGCTGCCATAGAAGCTCTTAAAAATGGTATGTTACAAGGTTCTAAAATCTCTTTAGCACTGGTTGGTTGATAGATTGTATGATATTGACATGTTGCCCAGAGAGAGCTGTCCACTGGGTGGACGGAGCAGCACCCTGAGAAAGCTTCCCGGATGGTCTACTGAGGTCTCCAAGACCCAGAATTCCCTGCCTGCTGAACATTGGGAGTCCTTAGTTGATCTATTAAGCCCTGGAGATTCATGGGAAATGTATTCCAAACCTTTTGTCATCTGCCTGCTCTCCTCCTGTCATTATGTATTCCCCCAAACCATGATTTGCACACAGGGCACAGGGAGGAGGGCTGAAGCTGCCATGCGAGGACATTCATCACAGTGCAGGTCCTTTCCTTGATAGCTTGGGACTGCTCTCAGTGACATCCTCCTTCTGTGACTCGCTCTTCTGCAGAGGGCCTGGACATGGCTCAGAGTGGAGGAGGTCCATTTGTGTATCTGAGCATGGGGTGGAATGATCGGGCAAAGTTGTTGGAGAGGGCACAGCTGTAGTCTTCCTCTGACATGGGGACGAGGCAGGCGAGCCCGATGAGGAAGAGCAGGAGTAGCTGGAGGGGAAGAGCAGCTCGGAGGACACGGAGCAGGAAGGCTCGACCCGACCGAGCTGGCTGAGGCTCAGAAAGGGAGGAACCGGAGCCACCTTTTATGGACCTGAGAGAAGAGTTGACACAGATAACTCAAACATTGGATGGATGCTGCTTTGGGCTTCTGCACCTTCCCGGAAGCTAAGGGGCAAAATTCAATCCAACCCAACTTCGCAATTATGTGCCCCTTCAGCAGTCTGCCCAGGACACTTCCCCACCATCCATCCAGGAGTTGTTTGGAAACCACAATGACAACCAACATTTAGTCTGTCACTGACAGTATGCATTGAGATATGCACCCCACTCATTTAGCCTTTTAGTTTGGTAAAAACACTTTCCACCAACAAGGATGAGTGCTTTCCTTAACTGTTACCAGAACAAATTTGATGGGTCCAGGATAATTAAGATGGTTCAGGGGCGCTGTTAGACAACAGTGGTGCTGTCAAAATCATACAAATGTTTTATACAACCATCCTGGATCTGCCAAATCCAGGCAACAAGTATAAAAACAGCCCTCATCACTTTGTACCACCCCAGGGGAGCACAATTTATCTTGGAGGACACCTGGGTTTTCATTTTGCACTGACTCAGCAGCTGGTTCGGGCATCACTGGACTCCAAGACTGTATGGGTAAGGAAGGCAGTGAAAGAGTCTACGGAACTCTAGTTTTGAATGACTTAGCTTGCTAAGCTGACCCTATCACTAGCTCTGTGACTTTGAGGAACTCAGACAACTTTTCTGAGGAGAATGAACAGCCATCTTGGAAGCCGCTTCAAAGAGGTATACCTAAGGGATGGCACATGCCCTAGGCTCCACTTGAAGGGGAACTACACTGAGTAGTTTCTAGTCATCATTGCGGTTTTCATCACCAGCTATGAGAGAGAGAGATCATTCATCAAGCTAAAATGAAGACTTTGAGAACCTCCAGGGATCAAGGTTGTTTGAATCCTTTCAATCTTCAGGTGAGCAGATCAAACCCACTAGCTGTTCCTTAGAAACGCTATACAGGGCTGCTATGAGTCGGAACTGACTCGACAGCACATAACAACCACGATAATAGACCAAGAAGGCAGACTGTGTGATCTTGCTTTGCTGAGTGTAGAAAGAGGAGAAACAGAAACAGGAAAAAAAAAAAAAAAAGACTAAGTCCCTCCTAGAGCAATTTCATCCATGAAATTGTGCAGTTGCAATTTCCATGCTATGTTGTCACGTGAGAAGTAAAAGATGAATGAGCTCTACTTGTATTTTTGAGCTGATGTGATAATAAAGCGATCTTAAAAGATGGGAGTCAGGTGTTTGGATAGGACTGTCATTTCAGTGCTTGCCATAGATGCTGTTTTATTTAGAAATACCTCTGCACTCCCTAGAGTCAAAGTATTAACTTCCCTGAGCCACTTTCCCAGAGTCCTTTGCACCAGAGCATTAGTGATTAAATATTAATTTCAGCATTCATAAAAAAGACACCCTAGTAAATATTAAAACATAGAAACAAGTTTTGGGTTGTAGCCTCTATTTTCTCATTGTGTACGCCCAGTGTTGTTTATTGGTAACTAATGGAAAAGAATTGAGTCTGGTGTGGTGCTGTGGGTTAATGCACTGGCCTGCAAAGTCAGTCTGAACCACAAGATCAGAGGTTCAAGCTCACCAGCTGCTCCTTGGAAACCCTAGACAGGTTTGCTATGAGTTGGAATCGAATTGACAGCACTTAACAACAACAACAACAGTGGAAAGAATGAAGAAATATTCATTGTCAGAAGCTTTTGTATGTACACACACATGTACCATTGCCAGGGGAAACAGGAGAGATGGAACACGATGACACGTTCCCCCACATCTAGTAAAACCTAATGGTTTTAATCTCATTAAGAGGAGTCCTGGTGTGGCACTGTAGGATAAGCACTGGGCTACAAAATTGGTTGGAACCACGAAGTCAGCAGTTAAAACTCACCAGCTGCTCCTGGAAAAGCTGTGAGTCAGACCTGACTCAACCGTATTCAACAACAACAACAACAGCAACAGTAAGAGTAGAGACATAAGAGTGTGATGTCATTTGCAGGTGTAGGGAGGTGTAAAAACTGTGTTGGCAGCTATGTTTTGCTCACATGGAAACACTGTAGTTCCCCTATTGTTGTGGTTTGTTGTTGCTGCTAAGTGTTCCCCTATTAGTTGTTATTATCTGCCATCCAGAGAAAGTAAAGAATCCCCTAGGAAAGTGGGCAGAGACAAGGCAACGTTCTTTTATTGTTGTTGTTATGTGCCGTGGAGTCGGTTCCGACTCATAGTGACCCTGTACAGGGTTTCTGAGGCGATACATTTTTATGGGAGCAGAAAGCCTCATCTTTCTCCTGCGGAATAGCTGGTAGTTTTATCTGCTGACTGTGAGATTAGCAGCCTAATTCGTAACCACTACGCTACCAGAGCTCCTTGTTCTTTCATTAGACTAGGGAAAACAAACAAACAAAAAAACCAAGATGGGAGACATCCTGGCCCTGAGGAGCCAAGCATCCATGTACCACACTGTTTCTTACAGTGCAATGAGGAGTCCTACTGTGGCACTGTGGGATAAGCACAGGACTGCTGACCACAAAGTTGGTGGTTCAAAGCTATCAGCAGTTCCTCAGAAACCCTACACAGAGTCGCTATGAGTTGGAACCGAGTTGATGGCCCTCAGCAGTAGCAACAACATAATGCAATGATGAAACCAATCAGTTATCTAACTGAAACCTTGTTCTTTTCTGAAGTCCACTAGTAACGGCTGCATGACCCTGAACAGTTCACCTTCAGCTCTATGTACACGTCCCTCCTCTCAAGTTAGACTAGATGTTCTTCCAACTCAAAAATCCTTGTTTTACACACTGTATGTGAGATGGATTAGCACAGGGGCAGCATCAATGGGCTCAAGCATGGCAACAATTGTGAGGTTGGCCCAGGACCAGGCAGTGTTTTGTTCTGTTTCGCATAGGGTCACTATAAGTCGGTATCAACTGGATGGCACCTAACAACAACAACAATGCTTTCTACTAAATTGGCCAGTATTGTTTCTCAACTGAGAGGCCGCAGAGTTCAATCACCATCTAGTGGTCAAACTGATTAACTGCCCTTATGCTAAAACAGTGCATTATTCCTAATGAGCTTAACAAGAAAAAGTATCTGTTTTCTGAAAATACAGTAGAACATCAAAGAACACTCTCACAGATATTACTAATGGCAGGGAAAATAGAGAGTTTGAATTCAACTCCCAGTTTCTTAGGGAGAGTCGATGTGCTTGGCTGCTGATTAAAAGCCTGGAGGTTTGAGTCTACCCAGAAGCACTTGGGAAGAAAACGCCTAGTTCTGAAAACTCAGTCATGTCAATCCTTAGGGCGCACAATTCTACTATGAATACATAAGGTCACCATGAGGCAGCACGAAACCAATGGCAACGGAATAGCTAAGGATCAAAAAAACCCAAATCTAAACTACTGTCACCAAGTGGAATTCAACTCATAGCGACTCAGTACAAGGGCTCCCAAGGGTACATTTTTACGAAAGAGTAAGTCTCATCTTTCTTCTGTGGAGCAGCTAGCTGATGGATTTGAACTGCCAACCTTGTGGTTCACAATCCACTGTTGATTCTACAGTGCTACTAGGGTTCCTTTATCTCAGGACACTTAACATTTATTCTTCTAAGTGCTAGGCAACACACTAAACGCTTACCTAGGGTCCTCTAATTCAGTTCCTATTAACAGCCTCTCCTCTGGGGCCTTAGTATCTTTAGTTTATAGATGTTGGAAAGGGAGGCTCGGAGAGTAATTTGCTCAAGTTTACACAGTTAGCAAGTGACAGAATTAAGACTTCAACTCTGGGTGCTAACTTCCAGAATCTTCTCTATAAATAAGGCAAGTGACTTGCCCCAAATCCCACAATGAAATGAAGAGAATTAGCAGGAACTCAGCGTTCCAAACTCCCTGCCTATAGCATTCTCTACTCTCCAACACCCTGTTTGTTGGCCTTATGAAAGAAGGTTCATATAGTGTCATAGTGTGGCACTGTAGGAGAACCACTGGACCGCCAATCACAAGGTCCATGGTTCAGATCTACTAGCTGCTCCTTGGAAACAGCCCCTACAAGGTCTCTATGAGTTAGAAGCCAACTCCATGACACTTAATAAGCACAATATCATCTCATAGAGAAGAGAACACTTGGACCCTAACATATTTGGAATTGAGTGGTTTCTGTATGACTGAAATAAATGCCTCCAATGACAAAGTCTCACAATATTACATCAAGATGGTGTAGAGGCACAAAGGCACTTTGTTTTGATGCAGCTGTAGAACCACGGGCACGTTAATTTGATTCGCCAGCCTCTGGCTTTTTCATTTCCAAAGATGGTAGGTGAATTAACCTTCTAAAAGTTTTCAGTTTTGAATCTGCCTTGAAGTATCTTGAGAGGGATGGGAGTAGCTCCCCATGAACGCTGGGTGGAATTTTTATCCAATATATCCTTCTGTTAACTTGAAAACCACTCATTGTCTGGAACTGCTGAATTATAACGAAGGACAAGAGAGAGCTCCAAGTGTCTGCATTATTACGTATTTAAATAAAAGGATCATGATTTCTAACTTACTTGTTTTCTTTTGGAGACATCTAATGCAACTTGAATGACAAGCTGAATGGCCCTTGTTTGTCAATTATTAGCTTCTCTGAGCAATTAGGTGAAAGATCAAGATCAAAACAAGTGCTTCATGTTGACTAGCCCACTCATGAGAAAAACTAGAAAGGTCACCATATTGGAACATGGGCCCACAGGTTGTAGAGTTTACTGAAGGACATGGCACATTTAACAGCATCAGAGCATCGTTATTAAAATATCATTAGTGCATACTTTCTAATGTTGAAGAATGCCAACCTAGGGAGAAGTAATGGGCTGAGGTGGGGACAAAGGGAACACACAGTGCTTCCATGCAGCTGACTGCCCTTGAAAATGGTCAATCTATCGGCTGAGAACCAAGGTCCACGTCCTAGGGCAAGTACCAAGATTTCAAGGTGCCCAAAGTTGCTTCTTTCTTAGGATGAACCCCTCCAAGA